TGCGCCTTACTTTCTCCATATATCCTTCTTCATGGTCCACACGCTGTGGACTTCCTTTTTACGAAAGTGTCTAGACAATCTAAATTCAATTGTTCACTTCAAGACTTGTCTACTTGAGTATTTAATGTTCTGCAAAAAGCATCTTTCTAGGTTGAGGTGTGTCTCCGTGATTGTAACGCCAAGAAACCTGCTTACCCAGAACACATTTAGCAGGATAATTCCTACTGCCTATTTTAAATGCTAATTATTGGCAACGAACACCTAAGAAGGCTTTTTTGAGAACTACAATCAGCCACTACATTGACAGGATGTATCTTGGCTAGGTCTGGGGATGCGGAACTACTTGATCGCCCGTATCATCATCATCATCGTCTTTCTCTGCATCATCTCCTCCGGCGTTGTGGGAGACGTCAGCGTCCTTGCTCATGGACAACGCCTTCCTCTACCTCACCATTTGCAAGTTTCGCCTCGCACTTGTTCCTCGATTATTTGTCACTTAGGCATTTTTGACAGCTTCACTACCATTATAACATTGTTGGCTTTTGAAAGCAATTTAAATGACTAGGACTCATTTTTAGTTTATAGAATGGAGCTTAATGATTGCTTTTTGATGAATTGCGTAAGCGTCTCACAGGAACCAATTATTTTAAAGTCGATCCACCATCCAAATTGGTTAGGTTGCGCATAGTTTGTGGCGTTCATTTGTTTGGCAATCTACGACATCTAAATAGGCATTCCAGATAGTTTGTTTAATAAAACAAAGGATTTGTGTATAAGGAGGGACGTTAAGTCTTTTGGAGGACTTACCTAATTGGCGGCAAGAAGGATCCAAATGTGGAGGATAGGAACAAATGAAAAATTGGCAAAGTTTCTACCTCATACATCATACGTGTTAACATTTGAAGGACAGTGACAATGTCAAATTGTAAAAGATTAAATCGAAATGAAATTTGACAAAGATCCTTTCTCATTTTATGCAATTTCTCTCTCAGGTGTGTTGATCATATTTTCAACTGTATTGAACACATCAAGGTGATTCACATTGGGTAAAAAATAGGGTCTCTGCTACCCATTTGTCAATCTTCCTGCTGATGTTTGTGCCAGTTACCTCCTTGAATGTGTGACAGGACAAGAGGTTCAGTCGATTCACGTAGAATTATTTACGTGTATTTTACTCCTTTTACAAGCCCAGATGAGACATGCGGTGCCTTTCCACTCACTTGATGACTGGAGGACTTCAGTGGTATAAGTTGCTTCAACTGGTTTTTTTCAACATTCGCGAAGTTGATAAAACTCTTGTTAATAGTTCTTACACAAT